CTCGAATTTTCACGAGATCTCGACCTACTGCCGCCGCGGCTTAAAGTGCCGCGCCGACACTTCCGAAGATGGCGCAGCGGCGTGTGCATGCACGCCCACTCGGCCGGAACCTTACAATGCCTCTCGAGGAGAAGTTTTTGTTCGCGAATAAAGGCTCGTTCCGGGCACAATGTGCCATTTTCTATATCGCGTATCCTCGACCCTACGCTGTGTTCTTCGCCGCTGCCCCCGCGGCCTCCTCCCGCGTTTTATTCTCTCGGACGTGCGGCGTTAGATACTCGATCCGCGAGAACAACCGACCCGAAAGGGACACGGTCCCCTCCCTCCGTGTGCTACCTCGGGGATACGGGAAGGAGTCGAATGCAGTTTGTACCGGCGACGATGTTTCGCCGGGCGAACGGACTTTAATCGCGGGCGCGGTAATTTTTTCCTGATTTTAATGTATATAAGGTTTCTTCACTTTTCGAGTTGACGACTTTTTGGTGCTATTTGAGCGTCGATTAGGCAGAATTTACTGGGTATAGTAATGCTAGGATGAAATGGATGGCTTGGTTTTTTTATTTCTAATTTTTTGATGCGATTCGGGGGCAATTTGGAGACCACGTGATGCGATTCGAAGGCAATTCGTAGGCAATTCGGAGACAATTCGAAGGCAATTCGAACATAATTCGGAGGCAATTCCGAGGCCACGTGCCACGATTCGAAGGCAATTCGAAAGCAATTAAGAGGCAATTCGGAGGTAATTCAGAGGCCACATGCCATGATTCGAAGGCAATTCGGAGACCACGTGCCACAATTCGAAGGAAATTCTAAGTCAATTCGAAGGCAATTCGAAGGAAATTCTAAGTCGACTCGGAGGCAATTCCGAGGCCACGTGCCGCGAACTCGAAGGCAATTTCTTGCCTCTCGATATTATCTCGGTTACTCGAGGCGAGATAATACAATATCGATATTATTCTCGACCTTTCTGGAAGCCCTAATTTGACCGGCGGACGTTCACAGCGTTAAGAATCCGATGGAATCGCAAAAAGAAGATAACATTGAAAAATTGAAAATAGCTGCGTTACTTTATTCACCGCTGTCTGATAAGCGTAATCGATAAGCGTCGCTTTATTTGTTCCAATTGCGAGCGAAATAATTGAAGCCGGATGACGAAACCGGCCTTATCTCTTGAACACAAAAAAAAAGAAAGAAAATAACCGTTATGCTTAGCGCCGATGTCGTCGAACGGTCGGTTTGAATATCAGAGATCTCGTTGGCGTGGTCGTCTCCTCCGATCTTATCTCTTCCACCGATAACACCGGAATTATTGGTAACGTGACCGAGGCTCCTCGGTTTTTGTTCTCGGAGCCTACGAATTCTTCAAACGTATTAATATGTATTCCGTGACCGCTGTATCGTTTCTTGGTTCGACCATATCTTGAGACTTTTAACCCTTTGCGCTCGGATGTCGCCGCGATACGGCGACGCATAAGTCACGTCGTTCGAGAATTAAGTATCAACGATCAAATTGTTAATTTTATCAAACGAAACCGTCTTTTCGAGCCGAGCGATATTTAGACAGCGACGCTTCCTTCGTGTTCGACGAGTACACTCGTCGTCGCTCTAAAAGGAAGGCGCCACGTCTAACTGATTAATGAATCGAATCAAATTACAGCAATGTCTCTCTAATTGACGCTCGGATCGTCCAGAAAAATGGACGATTTTGGAAAAGGTGATACGTTTGTTCGAGCCTTGTGGCTCGTCTTTTATGGTTATCGATTGTCAACAACTATAAAACCGGAGTTGCAAGGCTCGAATAATCATATCTACTCTTCTCAAAATTGTCCATTTTTGTGGACGATCCGAGCGTCAATTAGGGAGACATTACTGTATGTTCGAACAAACTGAATTCGAGCAGCGAATTCGACCTCTTTCGGATGCGAAAGAGTCCTGTCACAATCGATAACCATAAAAAACGAGCCACCAGGTTCGAACAATCGTATCTCCTCTTCTCAGAATTGTCCATTTTTGTGGACGATCCGAGCGTCAATTAGAGAGACATTACTGTATACTAAGTAATAACGAAAAGTAACGTACTAAGCGATTATTCGAGCCTTGAATCACATTTATTATAATTATTGACAATCGGTGACTACAAAAATTAACCGCAAGGCTCTCGACCAATCGTGTCTCCTCTTCTCAGAATTGTCCATTTTTGTGGACGATCCGAGCGTCAATTAGAGAGACACTACTGTATACTAAGTAATAACGAAAAGTAATGTACTAAGTGATTATTCGAGCCTTGAATCACATTTATTATAATTATTGACAATCGGTGACTACAAAAATTAACCGCAAGGCTCTCGACCAATCGTGTCTCCTCTTCTCAGAATTGTCCATTTTTGTGGACGATCCGAGCGTCAATTAGAGAGACACTACTGTATACTAAGTAATAACGAAAAGTAACGTACTAAGCGATTATTCGAGCCTTGAATCACATTTATTATAATTATTGACAATCGGTGACTACAAAAATTAGCCGCAAGGCTCTCGACCAATCGTATCTCCTCTTCTCAGAATTGTCCATTTTTGTGGACGATCCGAGCGTCAATTAGAGAGACATTACTGTATACCAAGTAATAATGAAAAGTAATGTACTAAGCGATTATTCGAGCCTTGAATCACATTTATAATAATTATTGACAATCGGTGATTACAAGAATTAGCCGCAAGGCTCTCGACCAATCGTATCTCCTCTTCTCAAAATTGTCCATTTTTGTGGACGATCCGAGCGTCAATTAGGGAGACATTACTGTACGTTCGAACAAACTGAATTCGAGCAGCGAATTCGACCTCTTTCGGATGCGAAAGAGTCCTGTCACAATCGATAACCATAAAAAACGAGCCACCAGGTTCGAACAATCGTATCTCCTCTTCTCAGAATTGTCCATTTTTGTGGACGATCCGAGCGTCAATTAGAGAGACATTACTGTATACTAAGTAATAACGAAAAGTAACGTACTAAGCGATTATTCGAGCCTTGAATCACATTTATTATAATTATTGACAATCGGTGACTACAAAAATTAACCGCAAGGCTCTCGACCAATCGTGTCTCCTCTTCTCAGAATTGTCCATTTTTGTGGACGATCCGAGCGTCAATTAGAGAGACACTACTGTATACTAAGTAATAACGAAAAGTAACGTACTAAGCGATTATTCGAGCCTTGAATCACATTTATTATAATTATTGACAATCGGTGACTACAAAAATTAACCGCAAGGCTCTCGACCAATCGTGTCTCCTCTTCTCAGAATTGTCCATTTTTGTGGACGATCCGAGCGTCAATTAGAGAGACACTACTGTATACTAAGTAATAACGAAAAGTAACGTACTAAGCGATTATTCGAGCCTTGAATCACATTTATTATAATTATTGACAATCGGTGACTACAAAAATTAGCCGCAAGGCTCTCGACCAATCGTGTCTCCTCTTCTCAGAATTGTCCATATTTGTGGACGATCCGAGCGTCAATTAGAGAGACACTACTGTATACTAAGTAATAACGAAAAGTAACGTACTAAGCGATTATTCGAGCCTTGAATCACATTTATTATAATTATTGACAATCGGTGACTACAAAAATTAACCGCAAGGCTCTCGACCAATCGTGTCTCCTCTTCTCAGAATTGTCCATTTTTGTGGACGATCCGAGCGTCAATTAGAGAGACACTACTGTATACTAAGTAATAACGAAAAGTAACGTACTAAGCGATTATTCGAGCCTTGAATCACATTTATTATAATTATTGACAATCGGTGACTACAAAAATTAGCCGCAAGGCTCTCGACCAATCGTGTCTCCTCTTCTCAGAATTGTCCATATTTGTGGACGATCCGAGCGTCAATTAGAGAGACACTACTGTATACTAAGTAATAACGAAAAGTAACGTACTAAGCGATTATTCGAGCCTTGAATCACATTTATTATAATTATTGACAATCGGTGACTACAAAAATTAGCCGCAAGGCTCTCGACTAATCGTATCTCCCCTTCTCAGAATTGTCCATTTTTGTGCACAATCTAAGTTAGGGAGGCATTACTGTACTTAACGACGCCGACACATCTATTAACCGCGCCCAAGAGGAATACTTAACTGCATTATCCGAAGCATTGCTGACATTCGTCCCACTTTATATAAAAATTTACCACCATAGGACCTCCCCCGCGTTCAGGGGGAGGTTCGCTCGGGCCCCGACGAGTCAAATGATAATTACGCGATACAAATAATTCGCCGGTGATCGTTCGCTGCGATCGGTTCGACGCGAGCAGCCGAAACGGTCCGACGAAAGCTCCTCCGTCGCAACGACGCGGTCCGACGCGGCCGTCGTCGCGACGTATCCAACGAATTCGCACGCACGCGGGGCTCGTGCGAGCTGCTCGATGTTGCCCTCTTCCCTCCGCCGCCTGTTCCGTTCCCCCTGTTCCGCTCCGGATCCCGCTCGCAGCTTCGACAGGGAGAAGCGGCAGAAAGAAGAGGCCTCCTCGCGCAACCACCCTTGCCCTTGACGCGGCGAGCGCGAGAACGCACGTCTGAGAGTCCCGAGGCTCGTAGACAGAGCGCGGTGAGTGGGCGCGGAAAAGATGCCGAGGGATCCTAGATAGAAGAGCGCGGCGAGCGGCGACTCCGCGTGCCGCGAGTCGCGAGAGAATCTAGCCTGTCGTCTGCGTTCGCGCGTCTCGCCTACTCGTCCGCGTTTCCGTCTTTGTCGCGCGGGCGTCGCGAGAGGAATTTGCGCCTAGACCGGATAGACCGAGCGGCGAAGCCGCGTCGAGTGGACTTTAGGGTGGCCGCTGGGAGGAGAGGACCGAGCAGACTCGAGTGACGATGATCCCCCGTTGTCTCTTTCTCGGTCTCGGAATGCACGGGCGTCTCGTCGCCCGACCGAATCAACGGAACGCGTCGCGCGTGTCCCGCGCGAGATGTCATTGAAAGCGTCGCATATCAGACCTACCTTTCACGTGTTCCGGGGTGTCGCCGCTCCTCATGATGTCGCTCAGGTAATGCTCCAGCGTCCTCATGCTATCCAGCGGTGAGTTTCCGTTCGCCGTCATGCGATCCTGCAACAGCATCGTTAGAAACGCCGGTGAGAATCTTGGGATACAGCGATTTCGCCGGGAAATGCCGAATTTCGGGTTGCCGGGAATTTCGCTGCGCCGGTTCTACGTCTATGCAATTTTATTGCTACGCCGATGCAAGGGTTGTGTCAAGGTTGTTAATAGAAACTAGGAAATACGGTAATATTTCCTGGAAATGCCTAATTTCCGGCTGCTGTGAACTTCCCTGCGCTAGTTCTACGCCTGTGTAACTTTATTTCTACGCTGATGCTAGGGTTATGTCAAGGTTATTAATAGAAACTATGAAACACAGTAATATTTCCCGGAAATGCCTAGTTTCAGGTTGCTGGGATTTTCCCTGCGCTAGTCCTACGTCTATGTAATTTTATTGCTACGCCGATGCTAGGGTCGTGTCAAGGTTATTAATAGAAACTATGAAATACAGTAATATTTCCCGGAAATGCCAAATTTCAGGCTGCTGTGAATTTCCCTGCGCTAGTCCTACGCCTATGTAATTCTATTGCTACGCCGATGCTAGGATTATGTCAAGGTTGTTAATAATAGAAGCTATATCAAAGCGCAGTAATTTCTCCCGGAAATGCCACATTTCGGGTCACTGGGAATTTATCTATGCTGGTCCTACGCCTATGTAATTTCATTGCTACGCCGAAGGGTCGACGGAGTCGGTCAAGCGTGTGTTGGCATTACTGTACAGGGTGTGCTGTACATGTGCCGTGCAGGGTTCTTCGAATGACCTCAGGGGAGCCCCACTTTTCCCGGAGGTACCATAATTTTTGGGTCACCCTGTATATTCATATTAATGTACCCCTGCAAACTGGCCGCTGCCATTCTCTACCAACTGCTACAAAAGTTTCCATAAAAACGAGCCGCGAGGCCGGACGAATCGCGACCTAGTATTCTCGGATCTGCCGGTTTCAATTCCGACCTCCGTACATTTCTCGGAGAAATGATGACTATGCTGCAGCGGAGTCGCGGCGAATTTGCTGTACGTCGTGTCGCATCTCTTCGAGGGGGCGAAGTTTCAACGAATCGCGGATCGCGGCGAAGGCTGAACGCCGTTTGATATATTTAACTTTGACATTGTGTAAGCCGATTCAAAAGTAATTGAGGACACGCACACTTGCAAGGATTGCCGTCGTGTCCGAGAGCGAGAGAGGAACGCGGGCATGGGAGAGAAACAGAGACAGAGAGAGAGAGAGAGAGAGAGAGAGAGAGAGGAACGCGCGCATAGGAGAGAAACAGAGAGAGAGAGAGAGAGAGAGAGAGAGAACGAGAGAGGAAAGCGGGCACAGGAGAGAAACAGAGAGAGAGAGAGAGAGAGGAAAGCGGGCATAGGAGAGAAACAGAGAGAGAGAGGGAGAGAACGCGGACATAGGAGAGAAACAGAAAGAGAGAGAGAGAGAGAGAGAGAGAGGAATGCGGGCATAGGAGAGAAACAGAGAGAGAGAGAGAGAGAGAGAGAGGGAGAGAGAGAGAGAGAGAGGGG